TAGTGATTAATAAAAGCCTAATACCTTCTGTACTGAGGCCTTTGTCCAGCAATGGGATATATAGGTGTTGCTTTACTTTTTTTACAGCAATCTCAGTGACAGATCTTTATAGTCTAAAAAAGTGTTCGGACCCCACTTTCTAATTGCCCGCGAACCCGTCTCGTCCTTTAATCAACTTTTGCGACACACGGGTAGTCCCTGAGCTTAATTCTCCAAACCGGAGACAACACGACTGACAGAGTGCCACGCCCGTTTCAATTAGCTTTATTCAACATAGGAGAATAACACTCACATTTTAACAGTCAAAATACTACCACCACCGGTTCGGAAAAAAAGACACTGACAAGAACCGGCGAAAGAAAATCAGCGGACCACTTTTTGTTCCATTTTTGACATACATTATGTGACACGAATCTAATAACTTTAAACGAGCAATTCTTGTATATATATAAAATCGGAATCTCGGAAACGGCTCTCTTAGGTATACTCCCAAAAAGTGTGGATATATTCACAAGGTCGCCCTATTGTGGCTTGAGCATGAGTAAGCTGTATTAGATGCTTAAGGCTTAATGTCATTCAGGCCGCTCGTTGAATGGCGTAGTTTAGTAAAAATGTTTGCTGTTAATTGGAGGACTAATTAAGCTAGTTGGCTGCGACATGTCCACACAAATATAACATCGGCGAAAAATTTCTTCGCATTTTACATAATTATAAATTCAAGATGTCTTTAATGAAGAAGTTTAATTAAAATTCAAATATCTTTATTCAATAATGTTTGGACTGTAGTCTTGAGGTGTTAATTAACATAGGCACTGTAATTTCTTGTATTTACGTGATGTTTACGGATTTATCTCGTTTATTTTTTGGTTTTAACTCCCGATATCTCGAACTCATGTTCATGTCTGTCCCGTGATCATGAACGCTGCAAAGCGTTCGAAACGTCGGGATTTACAACCAAAAAATAAACAAGATAAATCCTCTTTCATCTTTATTCAATACAGAAGTAACGCTACTTATTACTGAATGTCCTATTGTGAATTGCTACTTACTTATTGATTGTCCAAATACTACTTGTTCGGAAAAGAAAAGCTGAGAAGAAAAGGAAAAAGAAACTCAGTGGAACATTTTGATTAAAAGAACATTTAATTATAACATAGTGTGCAATTTTCTTCGTAGACATATAACTATCCCGTCGCTGTAGAAATTTTGGGACGTCTGATAAACAAAATGCGACAATTAGTTTTGACAGTCCTCCTTCGATTAACAAACACTACCCAAAGAATTTTAAGAGACCGAAAGAGGTGGAAATCTGACGAAGCAAGGTTAGAGCTATATGGTGGATGCATTAACATTTCTCAACCAAACTCTCTCAATTTTTGCTGAGTGGCTAAAGATGCGTGTGTTCTAGCGTTATCACGATGAAAGCCCACCCTTTCTGTTGATCAGTTCTGGCCGTTTTTTCTTAATTTTCATCAGGCAGTTTTACTGGGAGTAGAGATCTGAATCGACGCATTTGCCTGGTGGTAAAGGCTCATATTAAACGATGGCCTTCCAATCCTACCATGCACAGAGCATCACTGTATTTCTTGGTTTCGCTAGTCCGTGGAGCTTGACTGCCCTGCTCGTCGTTTTGTCCACTTTTCACCACCACCACTCTTCAAAAACTTATCGGTTTCATCACGTTTGAAAGGAGAATTTTAAATGAGTACACGACAAATTAAGTCTTCCAGTGAGCTCGTATGGCACCCAAATATTGACGTTTTATGTATACCCAGATTTTTTTCGAATAGCTCGAACTGCTTTGTGGTCAATTCCCAGTTAATTAGCTACGTCACAACCACTTGCCAATCTTGCTACACTTTTTCAGAAGTAGCATCGACTTTGTCCATAACAGGGCGACAAGAGAGAGTTGCATCTTTGACATCAAAATTCTCGGACTGAAAACGAAATAAGTTAGTTACTGGCACTGCAATAATTCTTCGTGATTTCTATTGCACTTTTCCTGTTTTTATAATAAAACTTCAAAATGTATGTATCGAATTATTTCTTTTATTGAATTTTGGAAGACAAAAAACAATTTATGTTTTATTAAAACAATTGAAAATTCGACGAAATTTGTTTTTTACTTTTTATTTTTCTGTTTTTTAAATGTCATATATTTATAGGAATAAAACGAGTCAGATACAAACAGTGCAATTAAAGACTTTTTACTACAACTTCATACGTACGAAATACGAGTTTTCCCCGACCTATTATAATTAAAAACTTGCTTGGGCCTACATTTTTTGCTACCATTGGTGCAAACTTCCAAGTAGATTTGACACGCGGAGTTAATTAAGTGGATTTCTAATTCCAAATTACAATAGAGATTAGACAACATTGAATAGCCGTGATATCTGAGTTCAATTCCTGGCGCCGGCACCAATGAAATTGTTAATAACAATCTTAAGTGCTGACTTATTACGGGCACAGCGGTGAAGGAAAACCTCGTGAGGAAACCTGAACATTTTCGAAATAAGAAAAAAATATTTTGAAGATATATGCCGTCTACCACTCCGCAGTGGGGTTGCGTGGTGGGCTATGCCCTCTATATAGAGGAGGCCTTTGCCCAACAGTGGAATACATGTCGGTTGTTACTTTACTTTACCATTGACTGTTGTGTAGTGCACTCTAAGCGACCATGGTCACCATAAAACCTCTAATAACTAATTATTGGGCCTTTCAACAATAAAATGGTCTTACATACCGCTGGTGACTGTTGGAAATTTAATCACGGCTGTGTCGGTAGCATGAATTTTTCAATCAGTTATGGATGTTTACATTCTCCTTCAGGGCTGTAGTAGTTGAATTTTCATTGCATTTCAGTTCATAAAAACTGTGATTCTATTTAAATCTAATTACATTTTGCAACAAGTTATATTACAGTACAATTAGTATAGTGAAGTGGATCATATGATAAGCAGTCTCAGGTAGCGCGTAGAAATCTATGGTGTACTAAATTTGATTTTATCGTTTTTCAGATTTCTATATAAAATAAGTGTGCAAAGACGTATTTAATGCTGTAAGTATTATCTGCCAGTCAACTTTGGGGCGATCCAGAGGAATTTAGGTATGTGAATAGATTACAACATAATAAAAGCAATCATGAAAATTTTTAGATACCGAATATTTAATGCTGTACTCGTCGCATTAGAAATTCAAGACTTAACAATGTTAACATAAAATAAACACATTTAAATACACAATACATACACAGTTACACATAAAATATTGATACTTATTTTTTTGTTTAACGATCCAGAGAATATGCTGCTAACGTTTTGAGTGAGTGTTCGCAGTTTGTTTTTTTTTAGAACTAAACTACTTCCAGCTGGCCTGTTTCGAAAGGCAGCGCTATCCATATAAAGAAGAATCACGTAATTCAGATCATAAATCTCAGCGTAATCGGTAAACAGAAAAAAATATACCGATCAAATTGAGAACTTCCTTCTTTTTGAAGTCGGCTAAAAATAGACTGGACGAAGAAAGTCGCCTTCTCACGTTTATTAATCATTGTGGGACCAGTACATCAAGAATCACTTATCACATTTAGTATCTCTTTTTAAACAGGGTCAAAAGGGTACAGCCCTGAATAGACAAAATTATAGCCCAATTATCGCACAAGCTCGGTACTTACCTAATTAGCACTCATTTAGAAATACGTTTAACTAGCTTTTCGCCCGCAGCCACGCTCGCGTTGAAACATCTTTCAAATAAATATCTTTCTTTAACCTTTCAACCCTTTACAACACTATTTTCCAATAAAAAAATAGCCTATGTCCTTACTCAGGCTCTAGATTATCTGTATCCCAAATTTCATTTAAATCGGTTCATTAGTTTTGGCGTGAAAGCTATACAGACAGACAGAGTTACTCTCGCATTTATAATATTAGTATGGATTTGAAACAAGACTTTTGTTCACATTCTTCATAGTTGTTTTGGAGCGAATACGTTTAATTGGTTCAAATGATACGATTTGTAGAAAATTTATGAATAAATCACCTTTATTATATTGTACCTACATAATTTTCTATCATTAACGGTTGCTATATGAAATGTTGCTGTTTGTATTCTGTTTTCGGTTTATCTGATGTTAAATATAGACATTTACTATTTATTAAAACCTTTTTAAAAATCCTAGTCCATGATTTAGCGTCCTAGTTACCTCACTCAAACTGGACGCGAAAGTGTAAATAGTTATTTCACATCACAAAGTTATTCTGTTAGGTGTATACTATTATTGCTAGTACCTGCACTCCTGCATCACATTAACATTTTATGATTGCCTGAATGTTAATTAACGCAGTGTTGCTATATGCTACATGTATCAGCCAAAAAAACAAATTAGCTGAAATATCTACTGCAATATCCTTTAAATATTTACTTTCAAGAGTTGAGAGGTAAACGACGCCATGAATAACTATGTGATCCAGTGGATTGCATTTGCGTGGCCAACCATGAAAACACCAACCCTTATTAACTAACGAAACTACGGCCTCTCAAAAGATAACGGCGATCTTTTGAGACGCCGTAGTACCTCACTTTACAAAACGATTGTGCCGCTGATTCTGCCGTGTCACAATCGAAAATCAAAACTTATTTATTTAAATTTAGGCTTAATTGCAGTTCTTACCTTAACGTTATTCTCCATAGATTCTCGCAATTTTGTTTCATAGTGCGGAAATATTTATTTAAATATTTAACATGTTAGTACGTACGTAAAAAAAGACTATCGAAAAATGTCTATCGACAGATGAAATGCTAATTTCTTACTTCGATGTATAAATAAATTGATTTGATTTGAACCGTTAGCATGTAACGACGAAATCCACGCGATTGGAGAAGACGACGAAGCTAGTGATATATACATGACATGAAGATTTGACAGCCCTATGCCCCAACTTATGACAAACACTTTTTAAATAGCGCATTCATTTAGGTTAGTTCGCGTCCATTTAGTCATGTGCAAACACATTTATATATTTCTCTGTTTGGTCACGCTGACGTACTGCGACCAAAATGGTTCGTAACTATGCTAAAGCGGTTTCTTATCCAAACCTATTATATCGAACTGATTAACGAAATGATTTTATAAGCTAAAATATTCCTATAAGCGGTTGAATAGATTTGGAAGAATATAATAGAAACGCGTGTGAGCGAGAAGAGTGATGACTGTGTAAAAATACAGGCATGCGCGCATAAACCTTCATATAGTGTTGTTTTATCTGGATAAAGGATGTGACCCGGTACTCCGGGACGTTTTGTGGTGGGTTTCGGAAGAGAAAATAGTGCCTGCGAAGTACACACGGAATGTCCGTGGTGTATAGCCAAGTTTGTACAAAGTTCTGTCTGAAGGTGACGTTTCCGAGATGCCTGATAATATAAGCCTACAGCTACATTGGCGCAGTATGGCTGAAGGCTTGCATTAGCGATCGGGGCTCACATTGGCCATATAAGAGGAGATCCTCGATGTATGCTATTTGCTGACGACATTGTTTTTGTTGGCTGTTGGAGTAATAGCGGAAAAGACTGGAACACTTCAGTCTAAAGATTAGCATTACCAAAGAAGAACATCTGTTTTACGACTACGGATGCACATCCATTCGTTACTATGTAGCCTTAAACGGTGTAATACGTTCTGTTTGCTTCAATTTTAGATATCTCGGCTCATTAATCCAAAAAGATGGTGGCATTGAGCAAACGTTACAAATAGTATAAATACAGACTGGATGAAATTGCGAAAGGTTTCAGGAGTAACATGTGAATCGCGATTGACCTGTCATGCTGTATGAATCTGAGTGTTGGGGAACAAAAGTACGAAACAGATAAAAAAAATTATGTTGCAGAAATGTGTTGAGATGGACGCATGGTATGACTAGAAAGGAAAAGATCAGGGTAGTGTATATTAAGAAATGCTTGGAAGTGGCACCAGTGAAAATAAGCCGTGGTAGGTTGATATCGTATGGACACTTAATGAGAAGGGGTTAAGGTAATGTGACTAGAAGAGTGCTATAAATGTGGTTGGTGGATTTCGACAGAAGATAAAAAGACTTTGATAGAGAGTGTGAAGAATGATATGTCTGCATAAGATACCCGTATTGAGATGACGGCTAATAGAGGAAACTGGAAGATAAGGATGTCTCGTACAAACTCTAGACTAAAACTATATTGACATTGTTATGTACGGAAAATGTAGTTTTCTGTGTACATCTCACAATAGATAAAATAGGTGTGAGTTTGGTTTTAGCAATTTTTATTGATTTCTTTGGTTGTTTGCCCTTTTCTACTGTCCAAGATTTTGAAAATATGACTAATGTCTTTTCAATTAGTTCTGCTCTGTTAGTTAAGGCTTTTCCGTTACTCTTCTTATGTTTAATACGATCTATTCTGGTCAGTTAAACTTAAACCTAAAACATCAACTCGCGATCAGTTCATCACCCATTTTAATTAAACTTCACATGATTGTGACGTAATTCATTCGCCTTAAGTGATTCGTTCGATATTTTCAAAAATTCCTGCTACTTTTACAACAGCACCTGCAAGCCAGATCAATATTATGCATTTCACTAATGTATTATTTATTATTATCTCAGTTACAGAGTATAAAGGTCTTCTCACACCTGAATGTACCCGATCATACAACCGAATATACGTTACACGGAGGGTTCCGCCACGAGATTATTATTACTTTCACGAAAACCTCGACAGGGAAAAGGAAACAGCCTCCAGAAATTTTTATGCCAACACGACGAACGTGGACGTAAGTGGTTGCAATATCTAATAACAATGTATCAAAAAACATTTCACAAATCTTTCACCCGGCACGAAAATGAAGCGAGAACATTAAAAGTCAAGTATGTATAACATCGAATATTTTGCTTGCTTTGAAATTAAACTTCGGTTCAGATTTGTATGACCATATTGACCTATAAAATACACGTGGGAAGTATATAAATATTTATAGGAAATTTACATATAAAAAATTTTTGAGGACTCACATTTTGGTGCCAATAATACGTTGTTTTAAATTTCTTATAATTTTACCAGTCGGATGAAATAGCTGTCCCTAAATAACCCGAAATACCTAATGAGTCACCAAGCACGCACTTCTACTACCACGCCAATTCTACGTGAGGTCTTTTACTGCCTACTGGAGAACTCTTGTTCTCGCCGCATAATTTTCTGCTGTACAACGAATTACCACAGGGTGGTTATTAATTAATGATGACTCAGTTATGCAGAAGCTATTGGAACGCTGAGGGTCGTGGGTTCGATTCCCACACAGGACAAGTAATGTGTATATGCAGTGTATGTATGTATGTAATTGTGGATGTTAACGCACTTGCAACGCAGGATAATGTTATCATTCAATAAGCACAATGTTTAAAATAAGAACGACATTTCACAGGTCAAATGGAGAATAGTCGGTGGGAAAATAATATCAATAACAGAGGCGCCTTACCAAGTGCTGTATGGGCTTTACTGTGGGGGAAGTCTTATTGCTCCACAATGGGTTCTTACCGCTGCACATTGTAAGTAAGTACTAAAGTCACTTTTTTTTATATATTTGTACATGGGAATGTTGAAGATAAGGAATGGCGAGTCATATGATTGGAATAGTGTAGAGTATGAATTTGGTTGGAAGGAGAGTGAGAAAGGTTTGGATGGACTGTGTGGAGAAATGTATAAACATAAATTCTTGTATCTTGTATTAACTGTTGTTTTTCAGTTCCGAGACTATCAAAGCTTCATCTGACGCAGAACCGGTGGGCTAGCCAGAACCCACGGGTTTGGGCCCTCCGCTGTGGGTAGGGCCGCACATGTGCTCATGCGTGCGTTTAACTACGACATGTCATCTAAGGGCCATTGAAGTTGCGGTGCGGACCGAGACCCCGATGGCCGTCGACTGTGTTTTTAGCTAATCGGTGGCTGGGGGCGGTGAGAACCGCCCTGGAACGCGGGTGTACCTTGTGTACGCGTTGTGTAGGTCTCGCCGTGCTCGGAGGCGAGGGCGAACTATTGTGTTTATTTTTACACTAGCTGTGGGTGTAGTGTTATCTATATATGTGAAAGAAACTGTCAGTAGTTTAGGAAAGAATGTACTGCTGACACAAGTGTAGAAGAATTGTCTTCAGGTCAAACAATCGTCGACCGTCGGTGCCTTTGCCAATTAAATCGTCAGTTACAAATTGTATGTGCTGGATTATCATCATTATAAAAGGCATTAAGTGGAAACTTCAACACGAACAATAATAAGAGCAAAAGAATTATTTTGAAGATACATGAAGCAGTGGAACTAAGCACTTATCATTAAGGACTTCACTTTAGTTAACTCCGGTAAAGCCACGCAATAGCTTTGTTGCACGAATGGATAGGACCGTCCGTGTAAGTACAACGAACTCACAGAAGACCGGCGTGATTTGGAAGTTTCATACATATGCGTTTCGTCTGATGAGTGAAATAGCCGGGGCCAACTTTATTAAAAGGTTTCAACACATCTGCAACCCTACGGGTATTGCAAATCTCCATAGGCGGCGTTTTTCACTTAGCATCAGGTGAACCGCCAGCTCGTTCTCACATAAAATAAAGCTTATTTATACATACGTTTTCTTTACTCTTTCCAGAGAAAAAGAAACGCACGTTTACGCCGGCTCCACGCAGCGCAGTAGAGCGACTAAGTACAGAATCTGTGCACACTTCACGCACCCGCTGTGGAACCTATCGGGAACCCACTCCCACGACTTTGATTACCAGCTAGTGCTCCTGGAGACCCCGGTGCCTGTTACGGCGAGCTCGAGGCCAATAGCCATCGGGAGCGTAGACGACGTGAAGCCAGGAGATTTGGTGGCGGTCAGCGGTTGGGGTCACTTGCAGTTTAAGGTTTTTTTTTTATATTTGTTTTTTGTTAACACTAGCTGAACCCAGCGCCGTTTCCACGTGCCTTTATTCTCTTACTTTTGGAACAAATAGTATATTAAAACACTCTCCTGTTCAACAGCTATGGTATAAACAAATATCAAGTCAATCTATCGGCTAGTCTTTGAGTTCTGTGGACACAAACATACGGAAACTAAATTTTTACATATATACGTAGATTGTCCTTGGGAAAAGATAACAATATCCTGTTTCGTACAAACTTTTCACTTGCATAAATTTCAAATGGATTTGACCCAGATCTGGGAGGATTATTTTACGCGGATCACACAAACGTTAATTGTAAACTTCTTAACTATAATTCTTACTTGTAACTTTAGAAAAATGTTTGCTACATTACAAAATTTTATGGGGAAGTTTTAATATACAAAACATATCTTTAGAAAACAATAATTTCAATAGCTAAGAAAAAACTATAATGAGTCCATCTAACTGATGTTAAAGACTAGTTAAAGTATAGTAGATTAGTCAATATATATTTTAGAGATAATTAATGTTTCATAGAATAAAGAAAGAAACATAAAAGGAAAGCAGGGTGAAGGCAGTCCAAGGATAGGCTATATATCTTAAATAAAAAAGAAAATAAATATTGGTTCCTGTAGGTGAAGGATGGAGGGTGTTTCACACCTGTACTACTGGAATGCTGCACCGACAAGACCTAGCTTAAATTAAAGAGAGAGAACAATAAAACAGGCTAAATGTTTTCTAATCTACATGTAATCGTAGTAGCTTCTGTCGAGGTGTTACAATGGTCCACAAACGTCCTTCTAGAAAAGCAGAATGCAAGATCTACTGCGAAGAGTTTACGTTCCGGTGCTTTCTGACGATGAATGCAAGGGTTTGGCGAATGGTTACTTCGACAACATAACGCCGAGAATGTTCTGCGCGGGGTACCTTCAAGGTAGTAAGGACTCTTGTCAGGTAAGGATCCTATTTTTCACTTCGACCAACAAACATCTTCTCTATTGTTAATTGTGTATTCATTGATTCATTCATCATCTCACTTTGACATTTACTAGGTGGACAGAAAATACAAGTCTTAATACTTCCACCGACTTAGTAGGAAAAAAATTGAAAAAAAATTACCAGTAACACGCAGGTCTAATTGCAGACTGTCCCGTGTTCACATGGAGATTGTGTTACGTATAATAAGTGTGTTATGATAAACAAAGAAAACGTGCTACGCTCAAGTGTATTGAAAATACTTATTTTTTTAACTATAATTGCGAAACGATAATACCACAACTAAACACTCTCTCCGCCTTGATTTATTTATATCGTCATTTGTAATTAAAATAGTTTTTTTATAAAAAAAATCTGTATTCTCCAGGGTAATCTTTAAATATTGAAGTATTTTTAAATGAATATGCAGTATCCAAGCTCAATTACATAAATATAAACACACGGACAATATTTACTTTCATGGAATCATACTTTTCACTGTGGTACTGTACCAGGCAGTTGGACCGGCAGTAATGTTGCATAAGAAGGGTAACTGGACCAGCCAAGTCCATGAAATAACAGAATACTAGCGTAAAGGCATAGTATGTATGCATTTGGACTTCTTCTGGTGAACGCAGTAACTACAACAGACCCACATATTTATTTTTTATGTACGAAGGTGGCAAGTGAGGTGGCGGCCTAATATTGAGTGACAACCCCCACCCATGCACATTTGCAACAACCGTAGGGGAATACGATAGGACGGCAATACAACCTACCCTCTGGTGTAGCGTGTATGAGGGATAGTTACTGAGAACCCTGTGCAATTTGACACTTTCAGTACGGAACAGTAGCTTTTGCTGCTACACAAATGGACAGGCTCGACCGTAGATGCACCACGGCCTCGTGGGTGACTCGTGTGAAATATAATACCTGCGATTACCACTCTTTGAGGTTAGTTACGCGGCGGCGGTAAACTACTCAACATCAGACGAACCAACCGTTCGTCTTCCATTTTATTTTTACTCTGGTAGGACCACCCAGCAGTATATGCCCCATTCCAGGGAAGTAGGCGGCAACGCATCGGAAACCCCATGTTGCAAATGTTCAAGGGCACCGCCTACTTGCGTGGCAACTTCTCACATAACAAAATCTTATACATTAAAAAACATTAAGACCACACAAAACTTCTCACATAAAAACTTTTAAGGGAGACTCCGGTGGTCCAGCTGTGAGCAACGGAAAGCTGGTGGGGCTGGTTTCGTTCGGGGTCGGCTGCGCGTTACCTGACCAACCTGGGGTCTACAGCAACATACCCGTCGTCCGTGACTGGATCAGATCCGTCACGGCGTTGCCGCTTTAAGTCAATAAACTTCAATCGGCAAGAGTGGACAGGCTGCTACCGAGCTAGTGCGTTTAACATCTACAGCTGCATCGCCACTTACCATCAGGTGCGATAGCAGTCAAGCACTAAGCAAATTTTTAATAGAACATACATCTTACAAAGAGTAAAAAATAAGCAGTCCCCTCATAAAATAGTCAATATAACACCTAGTTGACACGTCAAATAACACGCGACATTCATCAGGAGTCAGGTGACATGCATCTAGAAATAAATGTTTGAGTGACGATTTTTTCTAACTGTTATATATCGTGTGTCTTTAACGGATAAATCAGTTTTCTGTTAGTAAGCATTTGTATCACTCATGTCCTTCGTTAAGCGTACGTGTGACTGTCAAAATAAAATTTGGATTATTTTTAAAATTCATAGAAAAATGGACGAAAAGCTTCTCGCCGCTGCGGGAGTCAAACCCACGTTTTCCGAATTCGCGCCCAGACGCTTTTACCACTAAGCTTAACGGCTGATTCGATTCGAAAGACGTGATCATTTCGAACTTGTTTCTATAAATTTTAATGTTTCATCTTAGGTGCAGAGATTTGTACTATAAAAGTTTAAATTGGAAAAGTTTTGTATAACAAACCATTTTGTGCAACTCTTTTTTGTCGACTTTTTTTTAGTTATGACGTGTGGATACATGTCACTTGCCTTGAAATAACTGGTTGATTTTTTTTAAATGTTGATGCTCTTTCTTTAGATACTGATGAGCCTTAAAACAATTTGTTATTTTAGAGAGCAGTGTTGTGTAATGTTCCTCTATCAGTAAAATAAAGTATTAAATTCATTTTAAAATCCTAAATTGTTGTTTCAGTGAATCCTGTCTATAAACGCTTATTTAATATTTATTGAACCATTCTTCTCAGCCATGTTAGTTCGAGAAGGGTTGTCTTTCTATTAAAAGTAAATTTGCACTGTTTTTGAGGCAGGACTGGCAACACAGCACCAGCAAACTAGTGTGAATTTTGTATTAGTATTTTATACTTAGTGTACTATGAATTCTATTCTTATTCTTATTTTTATTCCTCTCTCCGTATTTTTGTGCACTACTCCCAAATGTTTTGTTACAATAGCATGTGTAATAAGTTCACATGTACATTTGGTTGGGCGCTATGGCGAATCATTCAGTGATATTTTTTTTATTAAAGTTAATATTTATTATTGAAGGGTTTACTTCAATAATAAATATTGAAGAGAGCGATATGGTTGACTGGACGTATCATTTTGATAAAATATTATCTATTACGAATAAAAGACACAAATTAATGTTTGTTTACGAATTTTTATGTGGAAACGGAAAGAAACATAAGGTTTCCGTTGCAAATGCAGAACTTCATGAAAGGACTGCCTTAATGCGATAATTTCCACTGATCGGCGGCTTTGTTATAACTTCTTTCAAGGAAGGAAACGACAATTAGGACAATTCATTATGATAACCTAAAAGATACTAGACCAGTGCAAAATTTAAGTTATAAAACGTATAAAATAAGTAAATTATGCAAGTTTTAGACGATTTATTTTGCATAGCATTGGTTATTATCAGTCATGTTTTAAAAAGTTTTAATTTTTTTTTTTCATTCATAATCCCGGTGACATTGACGATATTTGATTATTTATTACGCGCTCAGATTTCAAGAAAAACAATTAAACACCCTACCTTTATTAAAATAACACTAAGAACAATTTAAATATTTCAAAGGTGGTAAGTCTACGAATAACTTTAGGGTATTTTGGTGTCTATGACCACTGCTACTGTTAATGTCTATAAGGGTATCTACCTGCTCGTTAAAATAGATAGACTCGATAACAATTCCATTTTATATTAACGAAAAACAAAACCGACTTCTAATATCTCGCACTGTATTCATTTTATAATTGATTTTAAGGATTTCCATATGTATATCCGTAGCCCAAGATCCAACACCAATGAAATTAATATGGGACCACGTGGGAAGTACTAGCTTTCAAATAAAAAAAAGAATCATCAAAACCGGTTCACTCATTCGAAAGTTCTGAGGTGACAAACATAAAAAAATACAGTCGAATTGAAAACCTCCTCTTTTTTGAAGTCGGTTAAAAATAGCTTTAATATTGTTACATTATCATCATATACAATCAATTATATTCCATCTCAAATATACTATAATTTCATACAAGTATTTTAAAAAAACCCATGACCACAAAACTAAAAGGATTCTAATCATTTACAATCTTTTTACAGACACCCTTCAACCTAAGTACGGTCCTTATTTATTTATGTTTATTTTTAAATTCCATTTACTCCTAAGAATACGGCATTTATCTCGGGGAGAAAATGAAAAAAGAAAATAACAGTATTTTGCAGGCCGTCATCAAACCTTAGCCAATTTAAGAGCTCGGCCTAAATCAACAACTCGGTAAATTGGCCTCCTAACAAAAGAAAAACAGACAAACGGACCCCGGATCAAGGAAATTTATAACTTAAGGGGGCTACTGGGCGCTGCAAAATATTTACCATCGTGAATCTTGAGGCGTAAGATTTCAAGATGTTTTTCCGCCTTACGGATGTATAATTTTTACTTGAATTTTCAGCAATGATATGCAAATAAAGAGTCATTTTTGCAGTTGCTTATATATGTATAGTTTTCCACATCATCGAAATTACTGCAAAGTAATAAAAAGAAGAAAATCAAACAAGACTTTGTGTGATTGTAGAAGAAAAACTGGAAAGGATTAGGTATGAGGTGAAAATTGAGCGTTGACATTTTTTTAATTTCTTAGTTTTTCACGATGACAAAAATATAGTCGTTGACGGGAGGAAACGTAGTAAAAATACTCAATATGTGTGAAAATTACAACTTATAACAGGCACAAATTATATATCACAGTGATTTCTGCACGCAAACGATCAGATAAGCTTGCCAATCTTCAGAATTTCGCTCTAACAAGGTTTAGGTCAGATTATAAAATTCAGAGTTTACGAGTTTTGACACATATAAGAATCTCACGAGTTAGAAAGAAGTGACGTAAAACCATTTTACGACTCGATTAGCGTAGTGGATTTTGAACTTTTCTCTTACGCTAAATGACTTTAGTTCGATCCCCACTTTTGTAGAAATATTGCGTAATAAACATAGTGTTGTGGAATTTCTGAGTGTTTTTAAATATCTATAATATATATTTATCAACTAAAGAGAGTTATGTTTAAGTATTAGACTATATATACCCAGATCTATATACCCAGTACCCATAGTATATGCTTCGCCTAATTTGGAGATAGCGTTGCGTAAAAATATGTCCTGAAAAATATTTATTCACTATTTATATCTCAGCTGGCGGTTCGAGAGTTCATTTCATTTCGCAGCGTCATAACACAGTGGGTGTGTTTTCCTCGCCTCCGTATACTAATCCGTTTAGGAGATTTAGTAAGGAGGAACGATGCTTTGTATTTTGGCCGGCTGCCAACTCTCGCTTAAGTTACAGACGCAGAGACAGCGCGAAATATACGAGCGAACTGGTGACGAGGATATACTCCGGTGGATTATAACACACTAGCTGCTGCCCGCGACTACGTCTGCGTAGAATAGGCTGAAGGCAAACATTCAGACAGAAAGACAGATATACATAAAATATGTATACAAATTATAGCCTGTCTTATTCGGATGTATAGCTTATATTATTGTAAATTTTCATTAAAATCCATTCAGCAGTATTTGCGTGAAAGAGTAACAAACATCCATCCATACATACAAACTTTCGCGTTTATAATATTAGTAAGGACTTGCCTTAAGCCGCGCTTCCTCCACCGAAATTACCTATATCTAAAATAACATATTAAACATTTTACATAGACAGCTACATAAATATATACTCCGGGGGTGAAACTAAAGTTGTTAACACTTCTCTACGGCACTACCTCAGTCGTGTAGCCTACAGCATTGAGTGCTAGCTGTTGCCCGCGGGTTCGCCCGCTCGGTCACAGGCATGTGTGTATGATAAACAGCTTTTAGTTCAATCAACGCAAACAGATACAACGACAAATAAATAACATTCTAACGACAAATAAGTTCTACTATTAAAATTATGCTAAGAGAAACTCTAATTAACGATGACCGCAGAATTTCTGAGGGATCCTGCCTGCGTATACATCCAAATTTACGAGAGTAGTGTAGAGTAGAGAGGAGAGAGGATGTATACGCAGAAAAATTTGCAAGAGTGAATAGGTTTTTACTAAGCTGCCCATTAACATGCCCATCGCTTACCATCAACGGCTGCAACCCCACTTACTCAGGTGAGATTGCGCTCAAGCGCTAGCCAGTTTTAAATAATAAAAAAACAATTTAACACACACAGAGCACTATTTTAATACGCTACTGATACGTACGTACACGATATTACATGTCTTTCTGTTTAGGGACAGATGTAAAGATTATGGGCAGCGGACACACCCGAACATGCTATATACAATTGACCGACTCTCAACTCGCCCATGGGGAAAGCACATTTTTGTAAGTTCACCGTAATATATATATCATTATGTAATGAAACGTACAAACCAAGCTTTTATATAAACGATAAAAACAGAAGAGAGAAAAGACGACAAAATCGAAAAATTCACCACAAATCTTTTCCTTTGTGAATTGAAAGTTTTAAAATGCGTAATCACTCCTGTTTCCGCTATAAATCAGAACTTCATAAAGGGGCCGTCTTAATGCCTTAATTTTAACCGTTCTGCGGCTTTGTTTCGCAAAGTCACAAGATTTTTCGAGGAAGGAAATGGCCATTCGAACAATTTATTGTGACACCTTAAAGGAAAGCTAGTCAATGCTGAATTTAAATCATTAGTCGACCCGTCAAATTAATTATGTATGTGTATAAATATATTATTATGTCGTAATTAATCCTCGAATATTAATATTATAAATTGAAGTAATTATCAAAATATATTATCGTTTTGTATATTAATTAACAATGCTTAGTAAGCC